TAAACAATCAATGATGAACAGAGGTCTGCTTCTAGACCTGCAGAAAAGGGACACACAACAATACAACAGGTGCAAGCTTGTTGAGGAAATATAAAATCAACATTGTTTTACTGAAAAATCACACGATAATAAATCACAGTGAATTTTATGCCAACCACATCCTTAAGACATGTGTTGAATGTGCCCAAGTCCATACTTATGAGAGCACCATGTGAGCACCTATGTGTGTACATGCACTTGTTTATGTAAGGTTTCTCTATAGGAGCATCCAAAAGAGAGTGTGAGGGGCCACAGATCTGCCCCCCAAAGGTGTGTAGGAGATGGAGGGAGCTCCAAGTCCCAGAGATCCAAGAGCTGCCCCAGATCACAGGGACCCAGCAACCCGGGACCCAGGGGCGACCAGTCCCACCGGGGACCCAGCAGAGCCCAGGGACTCAGATCCCACCAGGCAGCCACCGGGATTAATCAGGCAGATGCCAAAAATCTTAAACTCCCTGACCTGGGAGCCGCGAACACTCAGGCAGACTTTAAGGCACCACACTTCACACCAAGTGTGGCAGGGGGGAGGGGAGGCGAAGATGTATAGTATCAAAAAAAGTCCCAGGAGAGGGGAGGAGTCAAAGGCCCCACCTGACATATACAGTCATACACAGACACAGTCACACAATCCCTCCCTCATGCTCACACATACACATACAACCAAAGACCTACAAAAATGCACACCAGACACCCACTCATGCTCCCCATACACACCTTATTCACTCTGGTTCCGGTACTGTTGCATAAAGGGTAGAACCATCACCGGTCCCCAGAGTTCAACCATTTCTGCTGGGGTGCTGATGAGCAGGCTCCCCCGCCCAACGCTGAGCAAAGCAACCCATCACCCCCGACCCCAACCAGACAGCCAGATCTCCCTCCTAGTCTCCAGCCCCGGGTAGCCAAGCAACAGCAGAGGTGTGCTAAGACCCCTAGTCTCCCTCCCCCTGCTCCAATATAGTGTTAGTGTGTGTTGATGAGGTGTATCTCATGGCTGTGGTGAGCAGACAGGGCAGTCATCGTCTGGCCTACGCCAGCTGATGCCACCACACCACCCCACTTGCACCCACAGCCCTGTGTCTAAGTGCAGTTTAAAATTGGAAGTGGGCATCGGCACTCGGGATGAGGCTGAAAAATCCCCCTGCCAAATGCCGTTGGATGTACTCACTCCCAAGGCCCTAAGTGTGTTTGTGTGGAATGTCGTTGGGGGGGGGGGGCTCCCAAAGGGATTAGCGGGGCTGACACGCGTTTAACAGTCAGAAGTGAGGGACTGATGCGGCAACATTACTACCAAGCGAGGCGGAACGAATGTTGCAATATTCGCGCAACACCATGCATGGTGCGTTTATAGACATAACATTGCGGTAATATTATGCTGATTTGCCGGTATGGTGTGTCCTATAAAAGCACCTATTGATGATGTGAGGGATCAGGAGGAGAAAAATGTGTGGGGATGGGGAGGAATTGCTGGTTGGCCTAAGCCCTCCAGGGAACAGGCTCCCCCACTGGCTCCAATACTGTTGCCAAAATGCCACCCAGGGCATGGAGACCCCAGCCCATCTTGGCAGGGCCCAAAGCAGCGGCATCGCAGAGCCTCACAGAGTCCAAGGGCACCAACCCAGCCCCACCCCAGCAGAATATATACTCCCATCCTTGCATTTGCACTACTTCCAGAATATATAAGACATAGGACATCCAGGTAAGGTTGGGTCCTCCCCCTCTTGGACATCCCCCTCCCCTGTGATGGGACAGCAGAGGAGCCAAGGTCTACCCGAGGCCCCTGAGAATGGGTCAGGCACTGCCGCATGCTCCCGCCTTCTTCCTGGCAGCATGTATGTCAGGACCCGACCCCAAAGGCCCCGCCCAGGTTCCCACACGGGGCCGGCCACCCCCACACCCCAAGCCCCCAGGCCCCCACCCAGACCTGCTCAGGGGCAATGCAGCTGCCAGACAGCAACCCATGGCCGCCGCCAAGACCCCCAAGGGGCCCCACTCACAACTGCCAATAGTCCACTCCCCGAGGCAACCCAAGCACCTCCAGAGGGGGGCAGCAGCCCCCCAGTCCCAGACACCCCCAGTGAACCCACCTCCAGGGAACGTCCGGATACTCCAAACTCAGACCCTCCACCCCATCACCCACATCATCCCGCAGGGCAATGTCAATGATCCCCCATCATCGCTATGTGATGGAACCGATCAAAGGAGCTCAGATAGATTGATTTAAAGGGGAAGCAGAGGCTGTATCAAGTGTAATATGATCTAACAAAATATTTCTATACTGGTTAATGCAAAGAGTATCTCTATTTTTCCAATTCATGAGGATAGTTTTCCTAGCATTGCATATGGCAGTCAGAACCACGTGAACCAAAGACGTTTCAATCTGGACATCGTCCAGGTTTCCCAATAAACAAAGAGAGGGGGGAGTTGGGATATGACATTTCCAGTGTTGGGAGTAACGTGGTACAAAAGTAATTAATTACTGTAATGCATAGCTTTTTGCTGTAATGTGGTAATGTAAGGCATTACAGGGAAAAAAATGGTAATATTTACTCGGTACAATTGTCAGTAGCGTGGTAATTACAATGCATTTTTAAACCCAGAATCAAGACGTGGGTTTCCTAAAAATTCAAATTGCGGGAAGCCTAAAAAAAGATCCAGTATCCACATATATTATGTCATTTATGGTCTCAGCTTTGCGGGCATTCTATGAGCAGAGAGGACGCAGCGGTAATGGCTCAAATACTCCAGCTGAGTCACGCGCGCGGCCGCTGTTATAATCACAAAATCGCTCCACCAAAACAGTCCTTCGTTTGCGATCGTTTATATCAGCCCATATTCTCTGGTACTTCACGTTTCTTTTCAGCTGAGTTCATAATCTGTGCCCCGGTGATTTCAACTCGTTGCTGCTGCAGCGCAGCACATATTAAGTTTTTTTTTTTTTTTTTTTTTGCGTTCGGTAGATCCCTTTGGCTGATTAGTTAGAAAGTAGGAAATCTAGGAAACAGTTTTTCTGGAAGACGGAGAAAACATGCAGCATGCAGGAAGGTTAGAGGGAGATAGGGCAGGAAATTATTCCAATAAAATCAAGCAAACAAAACAAAGTGCTTGAAAAGAAAAAAAAGTAGGTAGATTTATCCCGAATACACATTTTTACCAGTAAAAATCAATAATATATAAGCATTTAATATTTATACATGTGATAGAATCACCCCAGAAGTCAGTCCCACATCCAGGGCCGTATCAAGGCATTTGGGGACCAATGCAAATATAGGCTTGGAGCCCCCACCACCTCACTCCCTGCTCAGTTAATATAAGATGGCAGCGTACTGAGAGTACAGATTGTCGTTGCTTTTATTTAATAAACAATCATTTTAAAGCACTGTTATTATATCTGACTGTTTTTAACAGCGATCCTAGCTCAGACACCACATCACTTTCAACATATATGTCATGAGCTCACTGAGCGTCAGATTACCAGATTCATATTGAAGTTGTTTTGGTGAAAGTAACTTAGAGTAATGCAAAAGTAGTGTAATGCCTTACATTTTAAAACCAGTAATATTGTAATGTAATGAATTACTTTAAAATGAGGGTAACAAGTAATAAATAATGCATTACAGTTTTGAAGTAACTTGCCCAACACTGGACATTTCAGACACTTTGACAGGTCTTCACATACTCTACCCCAAAATTCCTGGACAGGTGGACAGGACCACAGTGCATGAATGTAATTGTCAGCAATGTTGTTTGTGCAGTGTGTACAGGTGTCAGATGACACAAACCCCATCTTGAACGTCCGATGACCTGTATAGTGTACTCTGTGTAGAATTTTGTACTGAATTAATTGTAAATTGGGGTGTCTGATCATTTTAAAAGTTTTTAAACAAGTTTGGGACCAGAAGTTCTGGTCAAAGCTGACCTCCCATTTTTCAATGGGACTGTTATTCTATTGTCTATTTTTGACAGTGTCTTCTATACCTTAGAGGCTTAGACAGTAGTTTGGGGGGTTTGAGATTTTAGAAGTCTAATACCCTTGGTGGTGCTTGTAATTCTATTTTATTTAGCTTAAATTTTTGTTAAACTACAGATTTAATTTGGTGATATTCTAAAAAGCTATTCTCATCTATTCCAAATTGGGAGACTATTCTATTAAATGGAATGAAGTCCAATCCTTCATATATGTGTTCCAGGTATAGGATTCCTTTACTTTTCCAGTCCGGAAGGTTCATCATTTTGTTATTTTGCAGACTATCGGGATAATTCCAGATAGGTGTACGTCTGCATGGTACTAGTTAAGACTCTGTCAGACTTTTTAAATGCACATATATATACACCTCAGAACAGCTGAAGTCGAAACAAACTGGACTACTCCTAATCGAGCTAAGGCACCCTGATAATGCGGTTAGAAAACCACATTTCTCTGCAAGTAAGCAGCATTCCAGCTTAGCCAAGCTATGATTGGCCTGGACATTCCCCCTTGCAGAATTAACGAGAATGTGGAAGCATTTCTCATGTTTACTCACAGGACTCTGCATGAATCGGAAATGTAACACCATCAAACAGTACAGTGTGTACCAAATGTACTATCAGGGCTGCTGACAGCCATTCTTGTAGCCATTGTGTTTATGCTGGTTTTTCTTTAACTGTTTGTTTACTATTTGTTGCTATTGGCTAACTATAAAAATGCCAACACAAAAAGGCACATGACGAGCGTACTTCATTCAATAATTGGATTTCTCTTACAGACATGTATAACTAGGGTAAAGGCTCCCACTCTGGTTAAGCTATTAGCTTGATTAATGCCATAGCTCAATTTAGCTTCACATGTAGCCCCACTGACATATGTCAAATGCTGTTTAAAGATTTTCACCAACAGTGACAGTCCAGTGATATCCTGATCACCTTTTTTCAGATGATTGCTAAATTTCATGTCGATATTTGAGATAAAGAAACATGTGATTTACCTAAAAGCATTAGCATCATAGATTCTACATGCTCCACGTCCTCCACATTGCTTAGTGCCCCACTTCAAACATGTTAGGTCAATCAGTGCTCCAAAATATATCGGGGGAGGGATGCCACCTGACAACACAAAGTCACATGTGCCTCATGTCATCAATGTCACAACTAAAGTTGATCTATGTGTTTTATTTCTTAAGGTTCAAGTACTCACCTAATGTTCTTACAATCAGCGTCTGCATACCCAATGCTAAAGACTTTAGATCTGGTTGTATGGATCTGTATCAAAGGAAAACAAGAGCTTTCTGGGTTTTATTGAAACCAGATTCTGAAGAACGGAGCACTAACAAAAAATAGACTATTTTTTTGAGTGGTGATCAACAAAACATAAAATAACTTCAATTGAACAAACAAACATACATCTTCTCTGATTTAAAATCTGACAACAGTTTTTTTAAAATCGTAATTGTTACCATAAAATTTGCCCTTTTGAGCTTTAGCATTAGTATTAGTTACCGAAGCAGAACAATGTATCCTGGTGTACCACCGCACGCAGACATGAACGATCCCACCACGGACAACGCCATGTAGATTTTAAACTTGCTGTCACATTCACCTTTCCTAGGACACTGACCCAACACAGCTGACATGTTTGTAGCTTTCATTACCGAGTCACTGATGCAGGTACAGTTGTGGAACACCTGAGAACGAGAGAAAGCAAATAGGACCTAAATTGACAACAAGACCTCGACATTTTTACATTAAATAAAGAGCATTATTAAATTGTGTGCAGACGTAGATTTTTTCCCCTGTGACTAAATGAAATTATTGAAACATCATAAAAACTGGTACTTCATCATAGTGGCAGCTGATGCAGTCTCCTCATTAATAATACATGGAGTTGGTTTCCCCACCACTGTGGGGTCAAGACGTTCCCTAATTTTAGAAATATTGCACAGATGGAAGAACCTAGTCTCATTTCATGAGAGATTTAATGGGCAGGGGCCCTATTTTAAAGCTTGCGTATACACAAAACAAGGTCTGGAAGTTGCTTACACCACTTTCTACAGGTTTGCAGCCCTAGCGGAGAGGACTAACGCTCTATTTCCCAACACCCTTCACCAACTCCACCAGCAGAATTCCTGGCGTTCCTAGCCAACCAGGAGATAAAATCTCTCCAGTGTGTCCTGGGTCAACCCGTGGACCTCCTGCTGGTAGTACATACCTGGAACATCTCCTGTGGCAAGTGTCAAGACAGCAATATCACCATACACACAAACCACCTCAGGTGGCTCCTTTTGGCATGGAGGAGCAGTGACTCTACTCTGAGTCTCTCTAAAATATGTGAGCTAATCATCCCATCTCTAAGATTGAGATGTTGAGAGAGAAATTGTAGTCAATCTTCAAGTCATTTATGGATAAACAAAAAAAAAAAATACCATCCCTAAACAATCAATCCTGACAAACCTTAAGCATCGACTATGCAATAATTAGCTGTCATCAGCAAGGCTTTTTGCCCAAGTCAACTGTGAAGGTGACCTGCAGGGGTCTGTATAAAAACACCGCAAATAATTACAGCTTTCATTCATGGAGGGAGCAAACTGTGATGATCAGCACTTGGGATAATCTTAAAAGCTTTGGCCACAGTTGTCAGATGTTGGGATTGTCTCCAATACAGCTCATAATATGGCTACTTTATCACTGATTAAAAAAGTACAAATCTACTATGGACTAATTAAGAGATTAAGAGATTAAAAGTGCTTTTATTGTCGAATTCTTCAAAAGCACTTCACATACAAAATAGCTGAAACTACGTTTCTCATTACCATGGGCGGCGTTAGGCCCGGCTACTTGGGCTCAAGCCCCGAATGTTTTATGAAAAGACTAGTGCATGCTACGTGTGTGTGAGTGCTCGCACATGTGCGTGCGCATGTGTTAAACCCCAGATCTTCTTCAATCCTAAATCTGCCCCTGCTCATTACGAGATGCTTGAGTTGAAGGTTGAATCCCAAAAAGATGGTAAATGGCCTGTATTTGATATAGCACCTTCTAGAGTACTGGAACCCCCCAAGGCGCTTTACAACACAATCAGTCATTCACCCATTCACACACACATTCACACGCTGGTGCGGATGAGCTACAATGTAGTCACAGCTGCCCTGGGGCGCACTGACAGAGGCGAGACCGCCAAGCACTGGCGTCACCGTTCCCTCCGACCACCACCAGCAGGCAAGGCGGGTGAAGTGTCTTGCCCAAGGACACAACGACAGCGACAGACTGAGTGGTGCTCGAACCTGCAACCTTCCGATTACGGGGCGAGCACTTAACTCCTGTGCCACCGTCGCCCCATTTTGGTCAGACTTTCCCTGCCTTGGGGACTGTGGACAGAAAAAAGTCAATGGCTAAATCTGGTGCAATCTTGTTCTCTCTTTGAATATTTTTGTTGTTTGTATTTTGTCCCCATTTGACAAATAAACCAGAAATAATTCCCCCCCCCCCTCCTGTTTTCCTGTGTCATCTTTGTTTGGGCCTGCATGATGAAGCCATACCATTGTCCTTCCTGTTCCAGAGGAGGTCTGGCAACCAGCCAAGCACGGTGAGGCATATGTCATGCCGTTGTACGCACACACCGGATCCCAGTGCTTCAAGGAGCAGGAGCAACCCATGTTGCACTCTGACAACAAGCTCTGTTGGTTGTAGGAAAGTTCTGGATACCTGGTGCACACAAATACAAATACACTCTATTTGGTTGAAAATAAGTGAAGATGTCCATTATTTGTACACAAGTCAAAAACGGGCTTCCTACCCTTTATAAGAGACGGTGAGGCCAGCCACCTCCGCATTGTCACAATGGAGGAAGTTCTGAATTCCTAACATGCAGAAGGACCCAATGGAAGCAGCCATGGCTACCCTGGCTGCTCCAACAATACTCAGCTTAAACCGCTTCAACACAAACCCGCCAGTGATGATGCCCAGAGCTACTGCAGGCAGGTTCATGATGCCTGTGTGGATGAGTGGATTGATTTAAGTTAGCAATTTACGGTTCATTTGCTTTCTTTTTTAAAAAATAAATAAAATTGTATTAATATAAAATGGTAAAAGTACTGCTGTCACAGACTCTTGATTTGTTAATTTCAGCTACTGCTTCACTTTGGTGATCATAGAACAATCAGTGTTCAAACAAGAACATTATTGGATAGCCGGCAAGACAAACAGTCATTAAAATGGTATTAATAGCTACCGGACTAGACAAACATTGACACAAAAGGCGAGTCCACGAAGGACCATTTAGAGCTCTAGTTCATCACACACAATCACACTTCCCTTCAACAACATCATTGTTCCAGTTACAGTAAACTCAGAGGGAACAGAGGGCTTTACCAATGAGAAAAATGGCCTTGGATGCTGACTGGCCAAAAGTCTGTTCCATAAACTTTGGCTTGAAGGTGATCATGCCAATGAAGCTATTGACTGAAACCAAATTGGTGAGAATCATCATTGAATAGATGCTGTTCTTGAAAAGTCTCTTTATGGAGGGGATGAAATCTGGTGCATAAACAACAACAAAAGAAAAGATTGTTATCTGTTCTGGCTTCAACTTCCAGGTTTCTGTCAGATGTTCAGCAAATAAATCAAACTTTACCTTTAACCATCTCCTGGAACGTGACCAGTTTCTCCTTCTCATCCCCGTGAGCTTCATCTGGCAGGAAATGCTCCTGTTCAGTCACAGTAGCCAGCTCTGTGTTTGTGTGGTTGCTATCCTCTTCCCCCTGTTTGGGCAAGGACTTGGGAAGGAAAAAGAAGGGGATACTTGATAGCAGAATCACTGTGCCAGACACTATGAAGCCCAGCCACCAGGCTCCAACCCAGCGAGAGTCCTTGTAGGTAATGGTGATGCTTTCTGGGAGAAAGGTAACAACAGTGAATAAAGAGATATTTGTAAGTGGGGTTATATGTGTGACCTCAATTAGGAGAAACAGAGTTTACGTGTGACCGGCATACAGAACATTACAGTAGTCCAGGCGGGACAGGACGAAAGCATGCAACACAGACTTCAGATGAGCTCTGGACAGCATAGGCCTGATCCTGGATAGTTGTTTCGGATAAGAAAAAACAGGACCTCACCACCGTATTTATGTGAGTGTCAAGAATAAGTGAGGAGTCCATTTTTATCCCCAAATTACTGAGTATTTTCTTTTCATAGGGGGTCAATGGGCCAAGGTCAATATCAGCACCTGAGCCATTTCTTCTGCCAGGACTAAGTTTTATGACTTCCGTTTTGCTCTCATTTAGGTGCAAAAAATTAGATGCCATCCAACATCTTATGTCCTTCAAACAGTCCAGTAAAGGAGAAACAGATCTATCCTCCCCACGTTGAAGGGGGAGATAGATCTGGCAGTCATCAGCAAAAAAAAATTAATTTCACATTATGCCGACAAAGGAGGACTCCAAGAGGAAGCAAATACACTGCAAATAGGAGAGGACCAAGGACAGAGCCCTGTGGCACACCCCAACAAAGTCTCAAGCAGGGTGACGTCACCTTACTCATCTGAACACTAAATGTCCTGTCATGAAGGTAGGAGCGAAGCTATTGGAGGGCCTGCCCAGTTATCCCCACCCAATGCTGTAGTCGGTCCAGAAGGACTTCGTGGTCGACTGTATCAAAAGCTGCAGATAAGTCCAGCAATAGTAGGACAATGTCGTTATCCATGTCATAGGCTAAAAATGTGTCATTAAAAACCATTAAAAGAGCAGATTCAGTGCTGTGACCCGCCCTGAACCCTGACTGAAAGGTCTCCCATGAATCATTTGTGTTCATAATGGCAACCAATTGTGAATACACAACTTTCTCCAGCAGCTTTGAAAGAAAAGGGAGTTTTGAGATGGGTCTGTAATTAGCTAAGGTTGTCACATCCAGCCCCGTTTTTTTTTAACATAGGATGAATAACAGCCTTCTTAAATGAGGATGGAACCATACTAGATGTAAGACTGCCATTTATGATTGCCAAAAGTTAAGGGCCTATCAATGGAAAGAGTTCTTTATAAATTCTAGGGGGCAGCACATCACAAGGAGAGCCAGTTGGTTTAAGCTGAGCGACCAGTTTTTCCAATTCCGATAAGAATACAGGCTCAAATGTTTCCATTGTAGCCTGGAGCGGCTCTGGGAGTAGAGAGTCAGGTGGTGAGTTTGTAACGGCAGCTCGAATAGCTGTAACCTTATCAACAAAAAAGTAAAGAAAATCATTGCAATTTTTAACTGTGGGAGGCAAAGAACTAGATAGAACTCAAGTAGTGAATTTACTACAGAAAAAAGAGTGCGTGGATCATGAGAATTTTTTTCCACGATATCAGCAAAGAACTTCACCCTCGCCTCCTTAAGTTTGCTGATAGTTAAACAAAGATTCTCTGAATATCTCACGAGAGACTTGGAGTCTGTCTTTCTTCCATTTCCTTACTGCCCTCCTGCAGGCTTGCCTGCAGGCCCGAACATCATCAGAGAGCCATGGTTCTGGTCTAGGCCTCGGCTTTCTAATTCTAAAAGGTGCAATTTTATCCAAAATATTTTTACAGAAACTGTCAAATTGGAGTGTAAGCTCCTCTGTATTAAGTGACAGTGTAGCTCACTTCCTTCAGCACATAGGAGCTCACCAAGCTCAATAATCTTTGTTGCATTTAAAACACGACGAAATCTCACATGAGAGGAAGTCACAGCAGGCACGCAGGGCAAGTTAAAGTCACATAGAATAATGGGCGAGTGATCAGAAAAACCCGGCTCAGAATCTCTACACCAGCAACAGAGAGACCAATAGAGAGCACCAAATCCAAGGTGTGTCCCCGTGCATGAGCAGGACCCAGGACCCACTGTGACAGATTAAGGGAGCCCAACAGATGTAAGAAGTCTTTAGCTTATCATGACAACACACATGAATATTAAAATCACCAAGAATCAAAACATGATCATACATGACCTGCATGTTTACAGACAGGAGGTCTGAGAAGTCCTTTAAAAAGTCCACATCAAATTTAGGAGGACGATGTATCAACGCCACGAGCAACAGAGGAGGTGTTACCTCTCTGTATTTGTAATATTACTGGCTTGTTATTTTAAGATTTTATATTTTTATCTTGCTCTTATGCCCAGGTACTGGGAATGTTTTATGATGCTGTTCAGCACCTTGGGCTTCTGATAACGTTGCAGAAGGTGCTCTACAAATAAAATTGACTGACTGATTAATTGACAGTGACAGGACAGACTAATGTCTTGTCTAAATGTAGTTTAAACTAAAGTGTTTCACAATTATTATTACAAATACTGATTCTTACACACATATTTAGGTCAAGTAATATACTTTGCTTCACTTTTCTAGTAGGGTCTTGGGAAGCTGGTGCCTAACCCCGGCACTCACTGAGGGTAATGTATAGAGACAAATGCAGACACCTAGTCACACACTCACACCTATTAACAATTTAGTCATCAATTAACCTAACAAATGTATTTTAGGTCTGTGGGAGAAAACCCAGGGATCTGAAGGAAACAAATGGCATCCTAAGGGAAAACATTCTAACTCCATACAGAAAGGCTGCAGTCAAGTGTTGGACCTGCAAACTGTTTTGCTGGTAGAAAGCAGTGCTGACTTCTCCACCATTCTACCCTTTTGATGTTAATGCAATAAACATCAGCTAGCTGAGGAATAAAGTAAGACCACACAATCTTCGTTGGTTTTGGTGACGTTCATACCAGAATGTCAGAAGTGCTCCTAAAGCCTAATTTATTCTTCTCCGTCTGCGTCGGGACGAACGCAAACCATTATCCGTCCTTTCAAGGATTCTGACAGGCTTACAAGACGGATGGAGTCGAGCTCTTTTTTCTAAACATCCGTCCGACAAGACGGAGAATGCAAGCTTGTGATTGGTCAGGATGCCGCTGTCATCAACAACACTGCCATTGCGCCCTCAAAAACATAAAGAGAGCTGAAGATATTTAGCAGCAGAAACTTGAAGAATACATCACGGAAGAACTCTAAAAATATGAATGTTTTAATTTCCCGTGACTGGAGGAGTGAAAAGATATGCAGCATGCATTTTATTCATGTATGGAACTGAGGGGAGACGTGGGTTTAGAGGTGGCGATCAGATGAAGAGGTGGAGGAGAATGAGGGACACATTTTTCGTGTTAAAAAGTCTCTTAAATACAAAAAAAAATCACACACACACAGTATAAACACATAGTAAATGCACTATCTTGGACCGGATACATGACATGATACCAGCTCAGTGACCTAGTGGTAGAGTGTCCGCCCTGAGACTGGGAGATCAGGGTTCGATTCCTGGTCGGGTCATACCAAAGACTTTGAAAAAGTGGGACCCAATGCCTCCCTGCTTGACACTCAGCATTAAGGGGGTTGGATTGGGGGGTTAAACCACCAAATGGTTCCCGAGCGTGGCTGTGTCTGCAGCTCACCGCTCCCCCAGGGGATGGGTCAAATGCGGAGAACAAATTTCGCACACACATCAGTGTGTGTGACAACTAATGGGACTTTAACTTTAACTTTAACAGAACAGCGCTACGCCCTCTGTTGTTCTGGAGGGGAATTGCTTTGCAACACTCTCCAGAAGGCGGAGAAGTCTGAAGGCAGAACGTCTCCATCAGTGGGTGTGTGTCTCTCCCTCGTGGAGCTGACAGATAAGTATAAATTAGGCTTCAGGGTCACTGTTGGTGACAATGAGACACAAGGTTTTGTGATTTTGCTACTATGGCTATTCTCCCTGATTTAGTTCTTCCATTTATTTCTGATACTTAAAACCCTAAAGAGTTTTAGACTGTAGCTGACTGATAGACCAAAGAGTTGGAGGTTCTTCGAACAAAGGAACAATTCTGCTAATCAAATTGTTTTATTGATTTCCTTAATCCTGATTGTACTAAAAGGTTACTACACATTACTATCCCAGCCTGTGGAAAAACATCAAACACTTGCATATCATACATGTCAGTAGTTTAGTTTTTTTTTTTTTTACTGAGAGCCATCATTGTTCAGTGGAAGAAATATTTTATAGTCTTTCTTGTTAAAATTCGATTGATGTTGACAGCAGATATCATTTGTTCAGAAACTTTCCACAAAACCTCCTTTCAAAATGTTTGAACCTTAAAGTTGATCGGGTTCAGTGAACTCTTACTACCTCTGTGAATAGTCTGGCCCTTGTGGGGGCTTTAGGCCAACGTTCAAATCATGCATGAAGCTAGTCTTGTGTCAACAGGGAAACTTGTTGGGAAATCTTCTTGCAACCCTTGCTCATTGACAAATAGTTTTTCCCTTTCAAAACAGCACGTTTAAAAATCACAAAGGGTTAAATATTTTCTTAAGAAGGCTCCTTAATGGAGAAAAGTCAGTGATGGTCTAATCAGGATCAGTCTTTACCATCATAAGGTGAGATGTCCCATACCTAAATTGACAAATCCAATGTCCACGTAGATCTTGGCTAGGTAGGACCCCATCATGAATCCAACCATAGGACCTAAAATTCCCACTGTGTGGATACAGGCTGGCACCGGGAAAGTGGAAAAGGAGAATTAAACATGTTTACATTTTTAGGTGGTATTCAGAAAGACAACGCAAAATGACAAAAGATAAGAGAAGGAAAGCTTCAGTCAACAAAAACATACAATCATATTAGAATGATGAAGTATTCCAGGCACTGTACTAAAATAAACATAAAAGTAACAAACCCAAATAGAAAGGAGTGTTCTCCTGTTTGGAAAAGTCATCCAGGTAGGACACTCCCAAAGGCATGATGGGAGTCTCTCCAATTCCACGCAACACATTCCCCAAGAAAACATACACCCACATGGATGAGCCGGCAGCCTCTTCACAAGCTGAGTGGAAAATAACGTAAATGGTAAATGACCTGTATTTGATGCAGGGCCTTCTAGAGTCCTAAAACCCCCCAAGGTGCTTTACAACACTACCAGTCGTTCACCCATTCACACATATTCGCTCCCTGGTGGTGATGAGCTACAATACCGCCACAGCCGCCCTGGAGCACACTGACAGAAGCGAGGCTGCCAAACACTGGCGCGACTGGTCCCTTCAACCACCACCAGCAGGAAATGTAAGTTAAGTGTCTTGCGCAAGGACACAACAGCAGAATCCTCTTCCGGGAGCCGGGATCGACTCTACAACCCTTTGAGTAGTTTTGGTTGTAGTCAAAACGCTAAAGCTAAAGATTCCACAGCTCAGCAAACTGATGTAAGACATACACACCTTTTCTGTCCTCTACATTCGGAGTCCCATCTGCATCTGCCATGCTGTGGTTAGCCAAACAGGGAAGGATGGTCTCAGTGCTGTTGACCTGAGTGTTATGAGACATGCTGGTCTCATATTTGTACCTGGGAAATATTGATGATAAGACCAGGAATTACAAGTTACTTTTAAATGTTTGTGATTGTATTTAGCAAGTGACTGTTATGGATTACTTCAGTATTTTGGCCATAGGAGAAAGAAAGAAGCAAAAAAGTGAATCTACTAACGGTCCCTGGAAGAAGTGAGGCATCGCTATGAGGAAGGATCCAATGGCCATTATTAAACAGCCGATACCAATTAGCCTGGGCCGATGGAGCTTAGCACCAAAGTAGCTCACAAAGGCGATGACCAACAAGTTACCTGGAATAAACAAGTAAGTAATGCAAACATGTGAAAAATATTTTTAATAATAAGGGATCTGATTGGCGACTTGAAGAGGTAATTTAAATTATTGAGCCAACATACCCATTTCAAAACTGCCATCTATAACCCCGATCAGAGAGCTGGGAATGTCGAAGCGCCTCTCAATCTGGGTAATGGAGCTTTTCAAATAGGCTCCACAGAAAGCTTTAGCAAAATACACAAATGCCAAGGAGACCAAGAACAACTGTAAACACACACGCACACACGCATGCACACACACACACACACACACACACACACACACACACACACACACACACACACACACACACACATTCTAAGGTTAGGCTAAGTAACAAAATGTTGATTTGAGTCAATCAGGAGTAAAGATTAATGGTTCCCATTATTCATAAAACTCACTGAAACTTGATTAATTTTACATCAACATACATTTGGTGTATTGTCTGACTTCCCTGGGTGAGGCAGACAAAAAAAAATCACAATAGACAGCAACAAAAGCCATGAATGATTTGTGGGGCGACGGTGGCACAGGAGTCAAGTCCTCGCCCCGTAATCGGAAGGTTGCAGTTTCGAGCCCCGCTCAGTCTGTCGCTGTCGTTGTGTCCTTGGGCAAGACACTTAACCCACGTTGCCTGCTGGTGGTGGTCGGAGGGACCGGTGGCGCCAGTGCTCGGCAGCCTCGCCTCTGTCAGTGCGCCCCAGGGCAGCTGTGGCTACATTGTAGCTCATCCCCACCAGAGTGTGAATGTGTGTGTGAATGGGTGAATGACTGATTGTGTTGTAAAGCGCCTTGGGGGGTTCCAGGACTCTATAAGGCGCTATATAAAATACAGGCCATTTACCATTTAAGTAAAGGGAGACTAGGCAGTCTGGGTTTGCTTTTACCTCTAGTGTCCATTTAGTAAAACCGAAAGCAAAACTTATCTCCTTGCTGTGCGTTTGTCTTTTTAACACCTTAATCTATCTGCTGAAATCTCTCCCCAGCCTACATTAGTGTCTACAAAAGTGATTCATCACTAAATTAAACAAATCAACTGTTTATGATTTATTAGATGCAGGAAATGTGCTGGAAGCAGACTGCAGAGCCAGGTATGTCAGCTGTATATATTTTTTTCTATGTATTTATGTATGTATTTATTTATTTTATTTATTTATTTTTAAGTCCAAAAGATTGGAACGGCAACATTGAAGTTGCAAGTGCAATATTCTCTCTATGCCGGGCTTGGTCAGTCATCACTGTGTCGTCTTCAGATTGCACAGAACAGCGCCGTCAGGTTTCTGACTGGGGCCAGGAAGTGGGTTCACATCAGTCCTGTGCTGGCCTCCCATCACTGGCTTCCTGTGTTTTCATCAGGAACGTTTTAAACTCCTGGTTTTTGTGTTTAATTTCTTTCAGGGCGACGCCCCTCCTTACTTAGCAGCGCTTCTGAAGAGACATTTGCCTTCGCACGCTCTTCTGATAAAGACCTCCTTGTCCTTCCTCGCACCAAGTGTCGAACTCGTGGGGGCCGGGCTTTCTCGGTCCTAACCCCATCACCGCGGAACCAGCTGCCACCTACAGTTACGCCGTCTACCCTTTTGCCGGTTTTTAAGAGTCGACTCGACTGAAAACTCTGGGGTTTTTTTTGCGTTTCCAGAACATGTTTGAAGTCAGCTTGCTTTTATGTTATTTTAGTTGTTGTTTTTAATTTCTGTTTTATTCCTTGTTGGGTAGCTTTTATTCATTGTTTTTCTTTTGCTTAATGCTTTACATTTTATGTTCTATGTTTTAGCTTCTCTTTTTATGACTATATGTCTTTTTACAATGTGTTCTAGCGCCTTGGGTGCCCGAAAAGGGTTGTGGGTTTATATAAATAAAGCTTTGATTAATTGATTGATTGACTGATATTCTGGCCACAGGAGGCGGTAGGGGCTGGGTGGCCTTTCAATAACCCCATAAAGGGTCATTCTAGCACATACTGGCTCAAGAAAATGATTTTAAAATATGAAAAAGTTGCAAAGTGTCTCCTTAATTCACAAAACAATGATTTTCCTAAATAATTTATATGTTTTTATGTATGGTGTATTTATTAAATCATATAACTAGTACGTTTTTTATTTCACATTTGACTATTGTTTACTATGAATTATTTATTGCTTTAATTATTTATTACATCATGTAACTTTGGACCCTCAATATTTATGAGATAAATATTTAGATAAGTTGGGCCAAAATCTGCGGACATATGGTTTGTATGGAGGTTAACATCTAGCTGTATAATTACCTTTTCACAGTAAAATTGCATAAACGTGTCAGAAATGTTGCCTGAATTAGTTAAAACCTGAGTTATTGTGGTGGATTGTTTCATAACCATTCTGTAAATCTTTTAGTTGTTTCACTGCAATGTTTTTATTTTATTATTCCTCTCATCAAAAGTTAATGAGAGAAATAATAAAATAAAAAAGCTTAGAAATGCCTTTAAAATTAATCCCTGAGTAAATTACACAAATAGCCAAGTAAACATTTACGGTCACTAACCAGCAAAGTTTTTAATTCTGCAAAATTTAGGATTAAGAACCTAAAATTATGTCTTTAACCTATTTGAAATAAGTGAATACACAGTAAACATTATCAAAAGCAACCACCCCAGAAAAAAAATCCCAAAAAAGTATACTTAAAACAACATTTTGGTCAACTCCATTGACAACCTGCTGTTTTCTGGCATTTATTACCAGAATTTGCATTCAGGCGTCTTATCAATAACTTTGGTTTAATGATTGTAGGTTCAGAGGGAAGCGGCTGGACATGGATTACTCAGTGATTACCCTAGCTACTGACTCAGCAGCACTTCCCCCAGGATTTGACAAGATTTTCTCAACTAACCCACATCACAAAGATAATAATCTGATTAAATTTTCCTCAAATGTAATGATGTCATTTTTACTGGAGAGTACGAGGATTATTTTATTATTATTCCAAATACATTATGTGCTATGATAAACTGTGACAACATACCCTGCAGGCAAACTGAGTTAGACAAACCTCCACCGTGCTTGTAAATCCTGTGCTTTATATTATAATAATGGTGTCACTAACCTTGAGCTTGGAGCAACCAACCTCACGGGTTTTTTTAGATTCCACACTCATCATTCCACTTCGGACTCAGCTAATGAAAGGAAGAAATCAGCACAAAAAGACAATGAAATAAATCAAATTTAAACATTTGAGGGCTTCCTTAAAAATAAATTGTTTGAATTAGTGTGCTAAATTTACAACAGCATTGTCACAATCACAAGTTCTTTTATTATCTGAGATAATGTTCCTATCTTGTAAAGGATGTAACTTTACTTTAAATACTGATGCATTTCCTTTTGTTTCCCCAGCATTTTTCCGGTCTGGTTGCAGCGTTACAGCGCTGGTTTCACTGCTGCTCAGGATTTATTAAATATAAAAAAAATTAGATTATAAGTTATTAAATCCTGTTCTGAATTTCAAAAAAGGACTTTTTGAAAAAATTACAAATGTTTTGATTTGACTATTTAAGTAAAAGAACAAACACTTAACATGTTGCTTAATGCCCTTCTAAGGAAGAGTTAGTATTAAATAAAAGCAGAAAACGGTTTCAGTATTTACCTCAGAGGCAGACGTTGCACAGAATGAAGAATCTCAGCTGATGGCTGGTCGTACCCAGCAGGACTTTGCGCTGAAGCCCAGGTCTTATCACAAAATATAAATTCACCTGTAATCAGTAACTTATGTTGATCTTGTTGATTGTGTCAATAAAAGGCCATGCAACCTCCATCAACCCCAACACACGCAGAGAGGCACAAACTGTACAAATATAACTGCACAGGCAGTTCAGGCAAGATGCTTATCCAACCAGTGGTGGAAAGTTCAGAGGCGCTCTGAGAACAAACACACACTCACAGAAACATTCACCATCCTGCAAATCCTTTTCTGTGAACATCACAGGCTGCCCGAGTATCCATCCTTTTGAAATGCACAACAAACAGCAGCAGCATGAAGCTGGTCAAAGTTTATTGTAGTACAAGCCTGCTGTTTCAGCCAGTTTGCTGTTTTCAAAGAGACAAATACTCCCCTCGTCCAGAGAAACTCACGTTTTGTAAGGCCGGGTGTTTCCAAAGCCAGATCAAAGTCTTCCTGTACCATTGATAGTCCCTAACAATGGCTTTCTCACTATAGTTCACCTAAAGCACATCTGATCACCCCATCATGCTAGTTAAACTCAAGGTCACGTTAAAACACCAGGTCACATATTCACCAAGTCTTGTTGCATGAAGATTTGCATGTAAACCTCTAATAGGTTTTTTCTCAAAAAATGTAAAAAAACAAAACAAAAAAACCCCGTCAAATTTTAAACCTAATACGTTTCCTTGAAGTGTCTAGATTCATCCATATGTTCATTTTTATCCACTCGTCTGCGTCATGAATCAACAGTACTAGCAGTGGGATCCTGAGATGATCCAGAAGGGATGAAAAAAGTAGTGATCTGTGTGTGACGGTGGCTCAGGGGTTCGGAGTTTGTCTTGAACTGGTGTTTTGCCATTTCAAACCAAGGCTCTGAGCTTTGGATGTGCTAATGTGTCCTGTTACAGTTGGATATGCTCTGAAATCCTTCAAAATGCATCCTGATAAGATTTCCAAAGCACCACAGCTGACTCCGTTTGTTGATGATGAGGAGGAGGAGGAAGATGAGGGCCTACATCATGCTCAGGACAAACCAGACTCTTTTCAAGCATCGTTCCATAGATGTAGAATGACTTACCAAGCACTATCAGAACAGGGGCTTCCTTATTCACTGTCAAGAAACTCCTGAAGGCCCAGCTCTTCAGAGAGCATCTTCTAAACTTGCACACTCCCAGCACCTACCCCCCACCTCTACTGTCCACTCCTTGTTCACTTCCCTGATTGGTTATGCTGCCTCACTGCCACCTATTGACTGATTAGTGTTGCTGTTAGCCTCAAGGGCAACCTGCTGGCTTCATTATCACTTGTAAGTTGCTTTGGACAAAAGCTAAATACATAAACATAAACATGGAGAAAAAAAAACATTCCACCTGTTTTCTGTCAGTATTTGGTTCTAGGGATAATTTTTCTAAAACAAACCATTTAAAAAACTCCCCGTTTGGGACATCACACACAGGGAAATTAGCACAGAATCCTCTCTCATCTGGAGGAGAGCAGTTGCTGCTGGAGGATCAGCGATTCTACTCAGAGCTCCCATGGATATCGGAGCTTCTCAGCCTATAGCAGCCTGAGCAGGGACAGGTGGGCATGGCCAGCTCCAGCTTGCTTTCCTTAAAGTCACAGAGCCCTAAAATGGCTCATTATGGAAGGTACTGAAACTGTCAGTTTCCCTGCTTCAAAAAATAAAGTAAAATAAAATAAATAAATAAATCTACCCTGGTATTATTCCATCTTGCCATCCCTCATGAATAAAACTTAGAGACATGGTCATATGAACAAATCTGGTGAGGAGGAGTAATCTTTGGGATGAATTAAAGCAGATACCACAAGCCAGGTCTTCTAATCCAACCTTTAATGCCCGACTTCACTACTGCACTTCTGGAAGGATGGTAAAAAAAACATATAATCAAACTCCTAAGTCTTGTTGAAAGCCTTGCAAAAAGAGCTAAAAAGTTTAACGACGCAAACAAAACCACTGATCACCAAACAGGAGACATGCCTACCTGAGACTAGTCTGGTGATGAAAGAGGCTCTTCAAGTACTCCCTGAACCTGGTTTGTTAGGAGACCCCGCGGCTGACTGATGGCAACACAGCCTGCGGGTTCAGTAAGGGATTGTTGAGGGGATATTTACCAAAAATCTCCGTCACAGAGTGAAATCACTGATGTTCAATCCTCCTTCATGTCAGCAGCTAGATAGCGTTATCAGAACTTTGTCCTGGTGCATAAAGAGAACTGTCTTCACCGATGAGTTTATCAAAGTTAACAGACATTCTGTGTCTGAACAAGATCTGCACTGAGTCATAATGAATCCAGCCTGTCCATCAGAAAAAAATACATCATTCTTCTTAAATCAAAAAATCTGAAGGAACGGGCACATTGAAGTCCTTATCTGTTGACAAGAGGCTGAGTGATTGGCTTGATCATGTCACCTGCTTTGACTCATGTTTGTGTTTAAATAGCAGTTTCTGATTCAGTAGAAACTCTGACCTATCCTAACCTGTTATCTTTCAGTTAATGGTTCAGCTGCTCCTCGTCTCAGTGGTCTGCTTCTCTCAGGCCCTTCTACTTTTTATCCTTCACTGTGAAGCTGGCCAGACGGGTGATTGTTGGTAATTTTAACATTCACATTGATGATGCCTCACTTTGCCTTGAGCTTCTGGAATTGCTATAGAAAATAAGGGATGTTGACTATTTTTCAACTTGTCTGTCCAATCACGACTTATCATGTTTCTTAACTGGAACCAGTCGTTAAAGATAAAAACATGTCCAAACACAAGTTTTTTGAAGTTTAGTGAATAAACCATCAGTCATTATTTGCATTGATCCGTTCATTTCCAGATGTGCTGTCACTCAGGCTATGGTAGCGATGGGTCCAGAAACACTGATGCACCGGCGCATGGATCTGGCTGATAGAGAGATGCAGAAGGAAGTAGTCCCGTGACCATTAGAGCTGCTGTTTCGCTTGTCAGTTCAGCGTCCAGGAGTGATTTAATGAAGGAGCGTCTCCCTCTGTCAACTGGATCTGTTTCTGCCATGAGTACATCTTGTGAAGCAAAATTATTCCACTGCTACACCAAGGAGGAACCATTTTGTTCCTACGGATCAACAAGTAGGTTATTGGTTTTTATTTCCTTGTTTCATCCAGTTCCTCTCAGTTTCTGCATGATCCATCAGAATTTGTTTCTAAATTATTCTTCTTAAATAATTCATACTATTTTATGTAGGTGAAATGTCAGAACTTACAAATATCTCCCTCTACTGCCATGACCATGTCCCATGAGGAGGGTCAGGGGAGGGGGGTCAGTTGGAAACAGAATTAGTCGGGAAGTAAGTCTTGTTTTATTAAACTACTTTGTTATGATTTATGGCCAAGTTTGGCAAATCAGAATTCGACACGTTTCTGAGTATTTACTATGGGAAGAAAAAAGTTTCAAAAGATCTGTGCGTGTGTAGCTAGGTTTGTGTGTGTGTAGCTCTTGAACTGTAACTTGTGTTTACATTTTTGTGTGTAACTTTAGCTCTTACAAATCTTTTAGTATGCACACACAAATCACCTGGTAAACGTGGATAAAACTACATTACACACAGATCAGTTTACAAGTACAAAACTCCTTTTGAGACAATTTTCACACCTGACCGATTTGTGCGTACGTTTAAAGTGCCTTTTGCACTCTTAGCGTGTAAAAATGAAATAAAAACAAAAACTTCCACAAGACTGTAAGCTCCATTCTATAAAAACTGTAAAAACACACTTAACACTATAAGGAACACACTTAAAAAGATATTTTTAAGGAAAAAAGAGAAAAGAAAACTCAGAATTGAGTGAGAGCTACTGGAGCAAGCTGCCGGCTTATATATATATATGTAATATATATATGTAATGTTGTTAGAACTATAAAATTAACACGTTATAACCAAGGGGCAATCTCTGGCATACTCTGGCAGCCAAAACTTAAGTCAAGACCATCGACATAAATATATGGACAATGGGTTTCCATAGACTCCAATAATAAGTTTTTGTACTAAAATGGGAGGTAGCCACCACCGCCATTTTGACCATGTCACAGGTTCCGTCAAGCCCAGACAATTCCATAAAAGGGAAGAGAGGTGGAGCTGAGGGTGGGGCTGTAAGGCTGGGAACAACTGACGACACCTGGTCGAACTAGCTACAAGCTAACCTGAAGCTAACCCAAAGCTAATGCGGAGGTGGGAGCTAAGCTAACGGAGGTAGCAACCTAGCTACAACCGTAGTTAACTGTGCACAAGCTTGTGTCAGAGATACGCTGGCCTGACCGCTGGGTAAAACCGGGTGGAACACAGAGGTCTCCGAGAGCTCCACAAGTCGGCAGCCGCACAGGCAGACAAGCGCCGCTGCGATCTGAGATGCGCAGAGCTGCCGCTGGGGAGAACTGGGTGGAAAGGTTTCCATCCCAGAGCTCCACAAGCCGTCAGCCCGCGCAGCAGACAGGAGCCGCAATCAGACAGAGATGCGCTGAGCTGCCGGGAGACCCAACCGTCATCCCGCGCAGCAGACATAAGCCGCGATCAGACAGAGATGCGCCGAGCTGCGGGGAAGCGAGAACGGGTGGAAAACACTGGTCTCCCGAAAGCTCCACAAGCGAATAGTCGGAACCTAGCTCCAGCAACATGTTATATATCAACCCATTTTCTAAAGTGCAGCATTATGTTAAATGCACTGGGTTTTACCCTATTACATTTAAATTTCATGGTTAAACAGTACATTTTAAAATCTAAGCTCAGCTCGGCAGTGACCTAAAATACATAAATATAATTTTACTTACTGAAAAAAATGAAGTGGAGACTCCTTGGACGCTCTATTAGTGCAATTATTGAATCTGCACCGAAGGGCCTTGAGTGTCTGTTAGTGCCTGCTTTTGTCTGCTTAAACTTTTGCTTTGCACTATCTTCCATTGGGAAAAGAGAAGTGAAACTCATCTGTGGGTTATCCTGTTGTCTAGTAGCTCCGGTTTGGGCCAGTTGAAAACAATAAGTGCAATCAGCGGCTGTAAATGAGCTGTTTTTGTCCTCCCTGAAAGCACTCATCAGGTGATCTAGGTGGGCTGTCCTCTCACCTAAAGCAAGGCTTAAAAAGCAACTGCAGGCACTTTCAAACAGACTTGAATCTGCACCGAAGGGCCTTGAGTGTCTGTTAGTGCCTGTTTTTGTCTGCTTAAACTTTTGCTTTGCACTATCTTCCATTGGGAAAAGAGAAGTGAAACTCATCTGTGGGTTATCCTGTTGTCTAGTAGCTCCGGTTTGGGCCAGTTGAAAACAATAAGTGCAATCAGAGGCTGTAAACGAGCTGTTTTTGTCCTCCCTGAAAGCACTCATCAGGTGATCTAGGTGGGCTGTCCTCTCACCTAAAGCAAGGCTTAAAGGGCAACTGCAGGCACTTTCAAACTGTCACACCCTGTCCTGTCTCTCCATTTGGTTCAGCCTGTGTCCCTGTTGATTGCTCCCACCTGCCTCTTGTTTCCCAATCACCCAAGCTCCCAGCCCTCCTGTATTTAAACCCCTCCAGTCCTTTGTCTCTTGTTGCTTCATTGTTTCCATGTCCTGCGTGCGTGAATCATTAAAACCCTTTCAGTTGTCCAGTTTGTCTGCCTGCCTGCTTT